GCGTTACGATGAGGTCTCAGCATTCTGAATCAGGACTGGGGTCATGCAGACGTCCGCACAATGGAATCCAAAGGTCCTGGAGTGTGGGTCGGGGCAATCAGTTGAAGCAACTCTCATGGAAAGAAAAAAAAGGCGGCCGGGCCCAGGGAGGCTGGTGGGCAGGCCCGGGGGCGGGCTTAGGTGGGGGGAGAGGGCACTGACACCTCACAAGAGTGAACACGCTGCAGGGGCCAGTCCTGAAGGAAACGGTGGTAGGGAGAAGGGCTCAGGTGTGTGGGGCAGGTGAGAGCAGTGGGTGGGGAGGGGAGTAGGGCAGAAAGGGGCCTGGGGGTGTGTGTGTGAGATGGGTACCTTGATGGGTAGGGCAGGGCTGGAGGATCCAATGAGAGGGGAGGGGGCTGAGCAGGTCTGGGGGTGCTCACACCTCCGTAGGTGGCAATGATGAGGGAAGCTGGCTTAGGAAAGGCTGGCGGAGGGGAGGAGAGGCTGCTCAGCAGAAGTGGACTCTGGGAGGAAGCAGTGGCGGGGGGGTGGGAGGGACTCAACTGGGGGGTCTTCCCTCCTTGCTACAGACACAGGCTGAGGTGGGGCCTGGCCCCAGCAGCCAATGGGCAAGTTGGGTAGGTGGGGACTGTATGAACAAGGGTAGGGGCTTGAACTGAGGGAGGGGCTAGGTGTGGCGGGGTGAGGGGCAGAGGTAGGGTGGGCACTCACTGGATGGACATGCTATAAGGGACTGAGCTCCTGACGGGGAAGGGGGCGTTTACCCTCCCCTGGGGGCTTGGGCAGCGCGCCCCCTCCTTGCTGGGAAGGGTAGCCTGTGAAAGGGCCAGGCCTGGAGTAGCTGGCAGGTGGGGTAGGGAGTGCTCACGCCTCGCTGGTGACCGACGAGTTCCGGGACATGGTCTTGGGCGACATGTCATAGTCGCTGTCGGAGCGGTAGAGGAAAGATTCGCGGCGCTGGCTGGTGGCCGCCCCGGCGTGCAGCACCAGGCCCGGGCTCGCCTGCGAGTCCAGCGGGCTGCGGCCGGGGGACGGTGTAGGCCCATTCTCCGCCTCGAAGCTGCAGGGGCGGCAGGAACCGGGGTCAGGGGGCTGAGATGGCTTTGGGGAGGTTAAGAGGAACGGGGGGAGGGGAGGGGCAAGGGAATTCCTGGCAGAAATGAGGGACAGATAGAGGACACTAAAGAGAGAGACACCCCAACAGAGATGGCAGACAGAGAATCGCAGGGATCAACAGTACTGAGAGCCTCTGTGAGCCAGGCGCTGTGGTAGGTGCTGGGATACATTAGTGACCATGACCTGTGCTTCACGGGGATGACGTGGGAGGGCTGGACTTTCCACACGTTGGCCTAGTAACAACGCACACGCCAAGTTGTGGGGTTCTCACTGACCCTGCTTTTCCCACTGTACCTCACATCAGCCTCACTGCGCAAGTCTATGCAGAATTGGCCCACTTCTCAGCCCGTCTGTGGCCAGCCCCCCTCATCACTTGCCTGGACCAGTGCATTCTCCTCTGCCCTGGTCCCTGGCTCCTGTCTTTGCCCCTCAGTCTGTTTCCCCCTCAGCAGCCAGAGGGAGCCTGTAAACACTTGAGTCAGGCCATATCCCTCCTCTGCTCAGAACCTTCTATGGCCCCCAACTCACTCAGAGGAAAAGCCAGAGTCCTCGCTGCAGCCCACCAGGCCCTGCCTGGGACCTCCCACTCCACCCTGCACCCATTGTGCTCCAGCCACAGTGGCCTCCTCGCTGTTCCCTAAACATTCCATACACGTTCCTGCCTCAGGGCCTTTGCACCGGCTGTTTACCCTTCCCAGATCCCCAGTGGCTCCCCTTTCACCTCCTTCAGGCCTCAGCTCAAAAGTCGACTCCTCAGGAAGGCCTCCCCTCACCAACTGCTGTCATAATATTTCATATTTCCCTTTCTTAAAAGCATACTACTGCCCGGCTGGCATGGCTCAGTGGTTGAGCATCAACCTATGAACCAAGAGGTCACAGTCCAATTCCCGGTCAGGGTACATGCCCAGGCTGCAGGCTCAGTCACCAGTGTGGGGCGTGCGGGAGGCAGCCAAAGCCAATTAATGACTCTCATCATTGATGTTTCTCTCTCTCTCTCTCTCTCTCTCTCTCTCTCTCTCTCTCTCTGTCTCCCTGACCTTTCCTCTCTGAAATCAATAAAAATATATTTTTTTAAAATACTAGTTATTGGACATAATCTATATTTTGCTTCTTTACTGTTTGCGTTGTCTTCTAGAAGTACTGCAGATCAAGGATTTTTGTCTGCTTTGTTTACTGCTGTACCCCTTGGGCCAAGAACATGGCCTGGCACATAATGGACGCCCAGTCAATGTTTACTGAATGGATAATAAAATGTATAAATGAATGAATGAATACGTGAACCCATGGACTGGATTGTGGCCTGCAGAGAATTAAAAGTAGGTGGATGACGGCAAGTTACTGGAGAGCTGATTTCAGCTGTTGTGGTTGAAGCAGGCCAGCCTGACGAGGTGACATCTGAGCAGGGCCAGAAAGACAAGAAGGGAGGAAGACCCTGGGTCAGGAGGAAGCACTCCAGGGCGAGGGAACAGCAAGTGCACAGACCTGGGGCAGGATTCCGTTTTTGTTTGAAGGCCAGCGAGGAAGCTGGGGCGGCTGGAATGGAGATGCAGACCAGGACAGAGACACGGCTACAGGGAAGGGAGACAAGGGGACCCCGGCCTGGGGCACAGGTAAGACCGAGACCCTCAGGATGAGGCAGGGGGACGCTGGCCATGCCACTTCCCAGCTGTACGACTTGAAGAAAGTGACTGAATTTCAGTTTCCTTGTCCACACGATGAACAAAACCACCACGTCCCTCGGGTCGCCCAGGTGACCAGCATTAACACAGGTAAAACGCTCAGAACCGTGCCTGGCACAGAGTTCAAAAAACATGGGCAATTCCAAGTCTGTCAGCCACACATAAGCCACTTGGGGAGTGGCCTCAGCAAGGCAGGCGACACGGAGAACTGAGTATGAGACTGGGAGCTGTGTGCCTGCAACATGCGCTGTGGCTTTGGGAAGGCCTCTGAC